AAATCGATAAAAAAGTCATTGAATTGGTCATCTCCGAGGTGTTTCATCTGCTCATCCGAAAAAGGCTTCGGAGAGATCCAGGAAATGAAGTGGTCTTGTACAGCATCCAGCTTGCACTCAACCACAAGCGGGTGATGACGCGGAAATTGAAATTCACGAATTGTGCGTATGCTGGAAACATACTTTGCAATCTGCGGTGAGAAGAGGATAGAGTCAATCTTTGAAGTATCATCATAGGTTGGCAGGGTGGGTGTAGAAAGCACCTCCTCCGCAAAACCATGCGCTTCAGCCCATCCCATGGATTGCAAGGTACGCCAGGCATCTGTCTGCGTGACGTCTCCGTTGAAATCCGCCGCAATGATACTGAAGCCATGCCAGACCGAAGCCTGGGTTACAGCCTGTTGCAGAAGTGATTCGTTGATATCCTTTTTGAAAAGCGAAAAATTCTCCGCTTCCGGGTGCAGGTACAGAACGATGCACAGGATTTGGATATTGCCAACCTGCGTGATCGTCTCCAAGTATCTCGTGGAGCAGAAGCCTTCCCATTCTACCTGGGCAGATGGCATGCGTGATCGCTGCGAAGTCAAAGCACCAACTCCTCCAAAAAGTGGGCGACCTTGTCCGCAATTAATCCGAGTACCGCAAGGTGCTCCAGTAAAGAAGGACAAACGCTTCCTGGCAGCGGCACGTTGAAAGTATGCAATAGCATTTTCATCTGCAGAGGTCTCCGCGAGCATCGTTATACCCGGATACTGCTCGTGCAAATTCATGACTTCGTCAGAGTGCTTCCGGAGTTTGGTAACATTGACGAAATTTACATTGAAAGGCTGGCATGCGGTCAGTGGGTGACCGGGGCCAGGATTGCTTGCTTCTCCAATTCGGCAGCCAAGCAAAGTATTGAATGACTGATCACTGAAATATTGTGAATTCACGCCAAGGGTTTGTTCGTAACCATGTTGGCAGCTTTTCCCCACGCCTGAGTACACCAGCAAGCAAGCCTCGGACCCCGTGGTGCCCCTGGTGCCACGCACGGGCATCTTCCTTGGGCCCAGCAAGTCGGGCGATATCCTCAACAACACGGTTCTTGAAGCCCTGCTCAAGCTGTGTTGGTCGGGATTGATTGCCCTCATCATGCTTGCCCCGCCTTGCAAGAAGTACTCTGGATTAAAACTAAGACCCGGCGGCCCAAACATGAACGGCGTGCCCGGCCTTTCGCCTTCACAGTTGAAGAGGCTTCAGGATAGCCAAGCCACTCATGAAAGGGGCAGAGCGTTGTTCATTGCGGTCGTTTCGAGAGGAGGCATCGGAATTTGGGAACAGCCGCCTTCTGCAATGTCTTGGCTAGAAGAGGCTAATTTTCACACGCATCAGTGTAGCCTTGTATAAAACGATCGCAAAATCATGGGCCTTTGGATGCAGTAGCCCTCGCATCCAAGCCCTGGCGGCACGTTGCAATCACACATACAAGCGCACAAGCATTGCTGGAGTGGTCGAAAATGGGGTCTTTCTCAGCACCCTGACCGCTGAGTATCTGGAGTCGCTGGCACGCCAACTGGCGGCTGTGGGCGCTGGAAGAGTGTCCAAAACAGGGTGAAGCGTGCGCTGCAACTGCACAGCTCCATTCCGACGCAGCCCAGCCTAGCGCCTTGCAGACTCCCCGTCTGCGACGGTGCGGGCATGCATTCGAGTGCCGTGCCTTCCGATTTGAGCCCCGCAAACTACCGGCTGCACTTGCTGCGCCAGCTCGCAGAGTCGTGGGGGCCGAGCCTTGCTGCCTTTTCTGCAAGAAGGCGTGCCCACGGGCGCCTTACGCCCTGTGCCGTGTAGCCGGCAGTGGCCGGCAAAGCCTCCCAACACCTCCGCACTGCCAGAGTTTGTCGCCATAGGAAAATTGAATGTGGTCTTTGCCGAAAACAAAGAGCCTCGCCTGGTTCTAGATAGCACGGTTTGTCAGGTGAACACCAGATGTTACCTGCCAGAACGCCTTAGCCTTCCGATGGCGTCCGATCTAGCGTTGGCCACCCTAAGCGAGTGACACGCCAGGGGCATTCCTCGGTGCCAGCATCGATTTCAAGGCCGCCCACAAACAGATCCAAGTTCGCCCGGACGAGCACGGCCTTCTGCTCTTCGCCTTCCAAAGCAAACTCTATCATTATAGAGTCTGCCATTTTGGCGGGCGTTTTTCTGCCTACTGGTGGCAACGCGCAGGAGCCTTCCTGCTGCGCCAGGTCCACGGTCTGCTCGCATGGCAGCCGTTCGCCCGCGCCAATCTCCTGGAAGAAGGCGCAGTTCCAGGGTTGTGTGGTGCGGTTGGGAGATAAATTTCGCTCATGATACCATCCAGCTCATGAGGACCAAACTGGTCAAGCTGGAGGATCTCATCACGACCCTCCTCGGCAAAAGAAAGGTCCTTCGCAACACGCTGGAGCAATGCATTGGCTTGCTTATCTGGGCCACCAGCGTAGCTCTACATTTGCGATCCTCAATGGCGCCGCTGTACGCCGACCTTCATAGCCCGCCAGGCTCCATGCACTCCATCCAGCCGCAATTGTGGCCGGCCTTTCGGAAATCTTTAAATAAAGCTTTGAGAACAGGCAGCAGCCTGCCGAGCCTTTGGATTTCGGCAGGTTCCAAAATTTTGGAAATCGCAGGTAGCACCGTGCGCTGCCTTGAGGACATCCCACGCATTCCAGGCACCAGCACGCCTACGTGGGTCCGCATAGCCGACCCAAACAACCCTTTCACCGCCCTCTCCAAAACCAGCCCTTGAAGCACTCCATACAGCCTTTAGCAAAGCAGCCCCAGTTGCAAGCCTTGGCAGCCGCAGATGCCTGCGTTGAAGAAGACCTAATGGGCGGTCACATCCTCGCAAGTGGTGTGGTTCGCAGAAACCTGGACTATGCAGGATGTCCGTCGAGTGTGGCCCTGCCTTTCCAGGCCTGCGCAGCGCTACATCGCGTGCTTCGAGACGCTAGCGCAGCTGGCGCTCCTCCAGACTACACATAGCCACATTGGGGGCGGGCGCTACTCGTTTAGCACGCCCTCAGGCACTGACAGCTCGGCAGCAGAAGCAGGCATTAACAAGATGTTCACAACATCTTGGCCTTCCCACCGCCCTGCGGACCGCGTGCGTTTCAGCCCTGCCAGCCTTGCACAGGCAGGAAAGGGCATCACACTCTGCCCCGCAGCAGCGCCGTGGCGCCCAGAACATCTGGCCGCAGCCACCGGGCATGTGTAACACATGGCTATACGAGCCGACTAGCTTCGGAAAGCCAGTGTAGCCTCCAGCCGCCACGCGCGCTCGCCTTCTATTGGCGGCAGCGCTGTGCCCTGCGCGCGCTTTTCCGTGGCCAGAAGACCTGGCTGCGATAGCAGAGTTTGAGCCCAAGCATCAGGAAAATGGACGGATGAAGAGCCGTTGCATTGAGGTATCAGCAATGCCCTCGCATTGCCTCTCCCCGTGCTTCGTTCCGGAGCAGGTGCAACCCTGCACTGAAGAGGGGGACTTTGCGCCTTGGCCTCAATCGCCTGTTTCCGGGGTTGCCTTGGGAAGCACTGAAGGAGGGGAACATCTCGCCCCTTGTCCTAGGTGCACCGCAGTGCCCCACCTTCCCAAGCAACCCGGTAAAAAAGGTGTGCGCCTTGCAGTCGGCTTTTGGGTTCTGGGTTCTTTGTGGTTTGAGGCTAGGAGCAGTGCGCGGGACCTTTAACGCTGAGGGTTTTCTTTTCCCTTGTGTTTTATAGGTCTGGGGTGAATCTCCTACGCCGCCGCCATGTGGTGCTCCTAGCCCTCAAACTCACGTTTAGGACTCGCAGTCCTGGTTTCGCTTGAAACCCGCCCACCCGACCCTTCTAAGCCCTAAGCTTGCTTAGGCTTCCCGGTCAGTCCTCCAAGCTTGGAGCCTGCCGGACAAGAACTGGGAGCGCACTCTCAGCTTCGTACCAGGGTCCGGACCCGCGGTCTGGCCCTGTTTGCGTCTTTGGACCCGCAGGTCCTTTGATGCGGGCGTGGGCACGCATGCAGCAAGGACACGCTTGTCTTGCGACATTGTTTTTCACAGGGGAGGGGAACATCTCGCCCCTTGTCCTAGGTGCACCGCAGTGCCCTAGGAAAGTGCCACCTTCCCAAGCAACCCGGTAAAAAAGGTGTGCGCCTTGCAGTCGGCTTTTGGGTTCTGGGTTCTTTGTGGTTTGAGGCTAGGAGCAGCGCGCTTCACCTTTAACCTCTTCGTTTTTTCGAGCAAACAAGGACCTTAAGCTTTTCCAAAATTTGAGGGTAACATCCCAGCAACTTGGTTTCCAGGGCGCGTGTCATGGCCAATACTGATGTTGCGATTCGATTATGCATCACGTGCCTTTTCTATGACAGAACTCTTGTTTTGTTCCACGCGACCACTCGCGATTACGCAGATCCGCAGAACCAGCGTTAAGATTCAACAAATGAACCAACCCCAGGTTTAGGTCTGAAGTCTCGGCCAGGAATGAGCCCCATGGTTTTCAAACAGAATTTGGGGTAAGTGGAAGAAAAAACCTCATCCCTTGACGGGAAATCTGCTGGTGCAAATCTAGCGCTGCCCGCATTTTACTGCGGCTGTAGCGTGTTGGCGGATTTTTAGATTGGTGGGTTGGTGGGTTGCTGGGTCAGCGCATTTGGTGGATGGGGTGGGGCGCGTGTGGGGGGCGGCGTGGGGGGCGGCGCGTGTGGGGGGCGGCGCGTGGGGGGAGGCGCGTGTGGGGGGCGGCGCGTGGGGGGGGGCGGCGCGTGTGGGGGGCGGTGCGTGTTGGGGGTTGTTTGATTGATGGTTTGATGGGGGGACACTTCTGAACGTCGAATTCAGTTTCAACTGAGGCACAGAACAGCAAAGAAGCAAGATTCTTTGTTGTCGTGCCATCGTGCCTATTTCTGATCCAAACACCTGTTGTCCCAGTGCGGGCTCGGATTTGGAGTTGCTGTGCTGTTTGGCGCTGTCTCTGTGTTCAAACCGCGGCCTTTTGGATCAAAGAATCGTCTTGCAAAGGAGTCGGTTCTGTGGCGCAGGATTTTTAGTATGGGGTGTCGCTTGGCTGAATTGATCGGCATATGACTCACGGCCATGCGTTGGGCCGCGCTTCTGGCTAACAGCTCAAGTTTAATGTTGGAAACATATTTGGGTGTGGTTTCAAACGCATCATCCATTTGGTGGTGGGGACCGGCCATGCCATGAGTTGAAATTCCCAGGTGTTTGCAAGCGCTCAGGTTGTGCCTCGTCCTCCTCAGAAGTTCCGGTGCCAAAGCCTCGACGACGTTTGAGCGTTGGCCAAGTAGATGAAACCGAACTTCCTGGAACGGAGGAGATAGAGGGGGGGGTTCAAGTTCGACGCATCATTTCGTTTTGTTCATGTCACACTGTGCCGTTGCGACATGGCAGGACAATGAAACTGAACAAGACCGCGGACTGATAGCTCAGTTCAGATGCTTGGCTGCATAGCCAGGGATGTGCAGGCCAGTTTTTTAGCTAGGCTCAGAAGCATTGGCATGAGATGGTGTAATTGGAACACAGTTGATTGGTCAAACCTCTTCTTTGATTTTGATTGCGGGCGTCCCATTGGTGAGCAGCAGTGGATTCCGAGGCAAGAATAATCTTATTGAGATGATCAGCGACGCAGACTCCACCGGAAAAGGCAAAAGCGGGCGCCGGGTCAGCCTCAGCTCCAAAACGGACAAGGGTACCACTTCCTTTGCCAACAAGACCATGCGCCTTGGAAAGAAAATAAGTGGGTTCTCATGGGAAAGGATCGGGTCAATCGTGTCAATGATGTTTTGGCACAGCTTGGTGCAAATGATCGAAACCGCTCGACTTGACTCGGATTCGCAGGCAAAAGTTTGGGGACGCCGACGTGGACGTCACCAAGGGCGGCATTGGCTTTACGTGCCGAAAGGGGCTGAAGCCTGAGAGCCCCAACCAGGACCTGCCCGGCGGTTGCTTCACCGGACAAAACCCATCTCAGGGGTCCCCCAAAGGAGAGTTTTCCAGAACATGGTGGGTGTTCTGTGAGCTTGCCATGGCAGAAGAAGCGCTTCCCCTTCAGGAGCTGCGCAATTTGCCGGGTTTCAGTGATTTACTGCCGCTTTGGGAGCTCCATGTGAGCTGGATATGTCGGACCAAACTTCTTTGAACATCACCCTGCCAAAATGCTGCAAGTAGCCCCTTTCAAAAGGTGTGATTCAAACTACGAACAACTCAAAAACTGGCCTCCCCATGTTCCCGCTGAAAACATCCTCCCAGTGGAAACTCACCGTTTATCCCGGCAACCAACAGCTGATCTTTAAAAAATCAACAGAGGAATGTATACTCCCCAGTTTAACATATAACTCAAAGGGAAACCGAGCCACAGCCCATGTTGATCACCCATGATGAAGGTCCCCTACTTGGAGATTTCTTCATTTCGGGCTTTGGCATTAGTGTAAACAATGGAGATCTTTGCAATGAAGAAGCTGATTCTTTTGATCCCCATGTTGGTCAGGGTGCTCCCTCAAAAGGGATCCGAACAACATTTCCCTGTGGAATTGCACCCCCTCACGGCTCACGACAAGAACTAATCTGGGGTCTATCAATCATGCGATTCGGGGTTGCTCGTCCGTGGCCGTGGTTTTGAGGCGATTTTCCACATGTCTCGAAGGGCTTTTGACTGGAAGAAACATGAGCCTGACGGAGTCTTTCCGAAGGTTTTCTCGTCGGATTCCATTCAAAAGAGCCTCAAGAAAGGCACCATCCGTTATATATATAATATATATATATATGTTTGTATCACATATGCAGTTTCCACTCTTCGGACCGGCCAAGCCCTGTGCGGTGTTTCGTGTTTGGAGAGTCCATTCAGCCACGTTCCCATGGTTAAGCGTCAAACACAAACAATTTTCCCCTATCCTCCTCTGGGAAACAAGTGTGTTTTTGTCCGTTTCTCACATCGTTATCCTTGGATGGTTCCTTGATAGTTTGTTCCCCTTTCCTATTTGGAGACAAGCCCATCTTGTCCTATAGGGCATTCTGTTTCGATCCTTTCTTGATTGGCTTATGATTGGCTCACCGTGGGGAACTTATCTGCGTTTATTGGTCAAAGTCACTTCCTCGTTTTCGACGAGTCGACCGGTTCGACTCGTGCAAGTTTTCCCATGGAGAAATACAGGAGAAACCCAGGAAGAAATACCTTGACCAAGGATGGCAAAGGGACAACCCTTTAAGTCAGGCAGGCGATTGTTTGTTTTGTGGGGCTGACAGGACTCTTGGTAATTATTTGACCAAAGATAGACCTCTCCAATGTCAGGTGCGATGTTAGAAAAGAATCGTAGGACTCTTGGTTCGTGCTGAAGATGGAGAGCTTTTCACTCTACGCCGTCTTCGATGGGCATGGTCAGAAAGGCCACGATGTCTCGAACTTCGCCATGGATATGCTGCCGAAGTGCATCATCAAGGAATGGGGGACCAACGCGCGACAGCATTTCCTTTCTTCCATATCAGCTGATTATGCGTATAAACATATATACAAATATATACAAATATGTATATGGTTTTTGAGATTATTTTCTGTCGTTTGGTTGGGAAATCCGTCCAGTGGGTATTGGTCTTCATCGCCTCCCGCAGGATGAGCGATGTTTCACCACCAGAGACTGGGGCCCCATCTTGGTGGAGGCTTTCAAGAAGACGCAGAACTTTATCACGGTGTCGGACAAGACCAAGACACTCCAAGCTCAGATGTCGGGAACCACTGCCACTGCCGCTTGACTCTCAGCCCATGGAACAGCGGGTAAGCCACCTCTCCCGCTGAGTGTTTTAGAAGTAGCTTCTCTCCCGGAAAGAAGAGGCACTTGCGGGAGAGGAGAGGGGAGAAGCCTGGGAAAGGAGTTGGAGTGTGGCAGTGTGTTTCTTTTTGACCTACCCTGTTTGGGGTTTTTCAATTGGAAACCAGATGGACAACTACCCATTTGAGATGGTCTTTTCTTTATGTTGGGACACTGGTGCTTGGATTGGACTCTCACAGCTTGTCAACCCGCACCTCACGACTTACAACCGAGCTTGCCCTGCATTCCTCACAAAGGGACCTGGAGGGTTGCAGTGGCACCAAAGGCACACACGTGTTTTCATTACATGTTTTAGAGAGGCTTCAATGCCCAACCAGTCGCCAATTCATCCAAAATCAGAGAAGGGCCCCTTGTTTGCGCGGAACATGTCACCAACGTCCCTCAAACCACGAACAAGGGACATGCCAGGAAGGTAGATGGCATAGCCTGGGTGGTTGAAGGTTAGTAAGGGACAATCGCAACCAGACATGCATGCAGCCGCCTTGGTTACTCTTTACATAATCTTGGGTTTCACTGTTTGGTACCGATCGGTTTGATTTTCTTTGACTCGCTCGGTTTGCGAGGTCGCCATCCACGACCACTCGGACAACTCCGTGACCATCGGCCACGTGGCGGACTCCACCGCTTGCCTGGGCACCAAGGTGGGCTCCTCCTGGCAGGGCGTGGCCCTGACCAGAGATCACAAGCCGAACCTCAAGGACTGGGCAGCACCATGTAACGAACCCGACCCAACCGGCGCCTGTTTCTGGTTGGGATGTCCCTTTTTTGGTGGCAAGCTGGCGTTGAGCAATACTTCAACGCAGAACTGTCATTTTACAAGTAAGGTGCTTGTTTCGCCTTTTTGTTTCACGCTATTGAGAAACAGGACAGTAAAAAGTGACTGACCAAGCGCCACCAACATGTCGTTCTTATATTTCTTTTTGCACACGAGCTGCTTCTAAACCAGCAAAAACGCCTCTTCTTGCTGGTCCTCTGCAGGGAATCAGGAAATGACCCCTATAAACCACAATGGTTTCCTTTGAGGGAATCCCTAGGTTCATTCCCAAAAGGCAGGGTCATTCCCTGAGCACTAGCAAGTCTTGTTTTCCAAGGGTGTGTTTGGGTCCATTGGGGGGCTGTGGATTCCATGGAAAAGCTCAAGACCGAGGCGAAGCCTCGCTTATTAGTGCGGCAAAACGTAGGTGATGAGGGAGCTCGTTTTGTGGGTTCCATCTTGATTTGGGGATATTTCTGATAAAGCAGCAACATACTGGACATGTGGAGGGCTTTGTACTCTCGATTTCCTGCTTCTGCAAAAGAGATTTCTGCAGGAGAGTGGCGCTTTGCTGTCTACTCTCTTAGCTTCGGATATTGGGAGTTCTGCAGCGGCAAGTTGCTCTTATCTTCCGAATCAATATACTGTAGGGCGAAATTATCTCCGTATCGATGACTCAACCCTTACCCCTTAGCTTTCCGCAGGATGAGAAGTCTCGTATCGAGAGAGCTGGCGGGCGTGTGGTCTTTGATGGCTATGCCAACTATCGCGTTTATGCCAAGAATGCCCGCTATCCAGGCACTGAAATGTCGAGTACAGCCGGGGGGGGGGGTGGTTGGGGGTGGAGGTTGGGGGTCCCTTCAAATGGGTATGTTTTTTTTGGGAATCGGACCCTTCCAATCGGACCCTACACCCAACTACTGGACGACGGGAGGATCAGAACGATAGATTCGTGGTTTCCTTGGACCAGTGGTATACGACGGAACAAAGAGGAAGCTCTATGTCACGTAGGTGCTTCAAATTCACAACCGCATCGATGTTCGCCGACCATGCCATATATTGCTTTGGACTTGCGCTATTTGGCACTTTGCAGGTATCAAAGCAGGGCTCATGTGTCACTCAATCAGGAGGTTCCGGATTGTGGAGGTGTTCTTTTAGGCCTCCATTTAGGCACTTTCTTTGTTTTGTAGCTGCGCATAGCCCAAGCCCGTTAATTGTATTGAAGGTATGAACAAACAAACCCCATTTATGCACAACTTGTACTCAAGAGAACGTCGGCGTTTCAAAAGGATCCTCTGACATCGAAAGCAAACTATGCTGTGGAGACACCTCCAACCATGGAAGTACCAAGTTCCTTTCCAAGAGGACAATACACTTTTAAAGGGGAACCGTGCACTTTCATATCAGAGTAAACCTTGCCAAGTTGAGCTGGAGTTGTGAGGCTGCGTCCAAGTTGCCACGTCCCTCGCTTGAAGCGATGTTGGCCTGGTGTGAGGTCTCAACATGTCACGTTGCCTCGGTGACTTGCTTGGACATGCAGAATGCGGCATGCCGCGGTCTCAGTGCATGCGCTGCATGGTAGGTGCTCACCGTATCGAAGGAAACGGGGTGCAACTGTGCAATAGCAGAAATCCGAATGGAAGCTCATGAGGTTGACTTGCAAAGGGCGTTTTGGATTTCACGATCATTTGCTGGGAAGTAATTCTCTCAAACACGTAAAGGATGGTACAGGCCACTGCTGTCATCTCCCCATCGGCTTGCAAGAGCGCTTAGGTCCTGTGAGCCTGAGATCAACAAAGTGACCTTTGCGAAGGAGAAGCAGTACATCCTCCTGGTCTGTAGCGACGGAGTGTGGGACTCTTGGCGAATTAAACCTGAGCTCCCTGAAGTTCACGCTTCGAGGGCAGCTTGAGATGAGAGGCAATCTCTTTCAGCGCTCTCCTCGTACCCTCCCACATACATGGAACTTGCCTGGAGTCCTGGACGCTTGTTCGCTCTAACAGGGACCTGGTGGGTTCCACATTGGACCGGAAGGTTATCTCCTTTCTACAGTCTTCCAACCTGCTCTTTTCTGCTGTCCGCTGGAAGTTCCGGCGGAAGCATTGAGGAATCCTTCATTCAGAAGGCCCTCTCGCAAATGAAAGCAACTCAAAATGGGTCCCCAAGAGCAGAATTCTTTCCTCGATGCGGGCCTGTCCCGCTCCGTTTTTGTTTTTATTGGGGGGGGGGGGGGGTGAACCTTGTTTTTGTTTGCGCTTGGTTTCCCATATGGAGACACGCCTATGTTGATTTGTAGGAGAGCGGGTTGACGGGATTGCTTTCTTTTGCGATTATGGGACTTGTACTGTGTCAGGAGTCGGCCATGGCTTTTTCCACAACATGGGCCATTTTTTTTGGGGATGGGTACCCCTTGTTTGGTAATTTCAAAGGGACACCAAAGGGGAAAAACACCATTGTTGGGTCCGATTCCTAAAAAGGCACCCGGATAGCCATAAATTTTGCTTGGCTTCTCTTTGGTTCCCTTAGCACCAGGCCCCAAAAGGAGCGTTGCAATTACATGCAATGAGGGAGAACGAGCTCGCTTATTTGGTTCCTGTCATATCGTCTTGGGAGCCGGCTTGGACCCAAAGAGCCTCACTCACTCACGTGTTTGTTCTACCCAGAATGGCTTGCCCAATTGACATATATGTGTGCCAGCCCAGAAACAGAACCTGGGGACTCTCGTCTGGGCAACATCCATAATTAAACAAAATAAGCGGCATGTAAAGAACGCAGTTAGCTTCCATGTTTCCCGCAGGTGTGGCCCAGGCACCACTAAAGCTAGAGCATATTGAGATTGGCTATAGTAAACACTTAGCTGATTCATACTTATACAAGCTTGTGACAGCATACTGAGCTGTGTCAAGCGATCCTTATTCATCTTTCTAGGGCTAGGAATTCCGTTTGTGGTTCTTCTTTTGGGATTTGAGAGTAGGATTCGCCAAGCCAAACCATTTTGAACAGCCCAGTAATTCAAATGGATGCCTCAGCGTGCAAATAGGTTTCCGAGTTACGTTCCGACTTCCGCCCGAAAGGGGGTTGACGGTTGGGGTCCTTTGATGGGCGGGCTGCGTCTCGCGATGCGAGGAATTTATCTCGGCGCAAGAAGTGCGGGGCCTATCCGTGCTGGCCTTTTGAAAGTATGCAACGCCTGGGTCGGATGGCTGTGAAGGTTTGATTTTTTTTTGGAATTTGGCA